ATTATAGAAAAAAATTACCGACAAGTGATATGATATAAGTAAGCAATTATCTATCAGGTCCACTTCCACGTGATGTTGAAACTATTTCCCGAGAAATTTCTAGTGAATTTCCCGGCACCTGAGCCTTTCATTTTTTCATTGTAGTAAGTACACAAATAAGTGTTTGTTTTTAGCTTTATTGAACAGTCACATTTCATATAGATAATTTGACATTCATATTTATTCTTTCTACATCTATGAACCAAAGCCACAGACAGATCCTTTCTTATTTTACTCATTTAATAATATATTAACATTTTAATACCAGTATTATAATAATTGTAAGTGACATATTTTGTTTTGTAAACACCCTCTAATGAAAATGATTATACATAGTTTTAGAAGACACATCACAATACAAGTACCGTAGCAATATGTCATTATAAATTCAGATCATCCCCTTAGTTATTAGCTGATAGTGACGTGAGCTTCAAAACTTTGCCACCCCGACAATCTCTTGCTATTTGAAGATCCCTTGTGCGTTTGAAAGTTACTCCCTTTCTATACACATGACAGATACAAGTTTGGCAAATGGAAACTCAATAACTGAAATTATTATTTAATTTGGATAACACACATGTATATATTTAATCGTCAAGTATGGTAATTATGTCAAACAAATGTACCTAGGTCAAATTAATTCCTAATATTATTCTATGACCTACATGTACACATTACAAGTTCGAATATAACTTTAATAGCTTTTAAACATCTTATTTATTTATATATTGAAATAACTGTATTGACTAATGGTAAATATGATACAAATGGCGAGCTTAATGCTAGTATCATTCTCTATCAGTCACTTACAGTACAGTACAATACTTCATTACTGAGATTACTCAAGAAAAAATCAATTAATAATGTATACACAATAAATATACATAAATAGTATAAAAGAATATATATATTATATATATATATGTGTATATATATATATATATATATATATATATATATATATAAGATGATGACTAACTGCTATTATAGGTAATAGGTAAACATTAACTTTTTTAACATCAATTTGTTTGGAAGCTCTTAGATACCTATATACCTATATAGATTGTCTGAGCAATGCATTCCAGAGTCGTGAATCTTATTAAAAGTAAAATTTTATAAAGTTACAGGCTAAATTTTAAATGCTTAATGTAATTAACATTGAGTAGAACACTGCATATTTATACATTTAGGTAATAAGTCACAATATTCCAATTTTTTTATTCTAAATCTAAATCTAATTCAAATGTTACTCTTTGAAACTTATATACAAACATAAATATATACAAGTGATAGATTAAACATACAGATAGAAATACAGGTGTAATCTACTATTGTTTTCTTTCTATATGTATAGGCACTCCTCCAATTCTAAACCGATTTTGAAGATTCATTATGTAATTGATGGTATTTACTTCCGTGTGTGTTCCATATAAATTTGATCACGAATATGGTTTTTTTTTTTGGAACAAAATCTTATATTATCAAGTCGAAGAATCCCCAACGGCCATAAGTAACGCTACGGAAGTTCGTAGCGTTTTCAGTTCGGTAACATATCGGGAAGCCATTCACATATATCATGCGGTACTATCTCCAGGTGCCAACTATCTCTTGTCTCGACCTCGACCAGTATTACTTTGTATTGCTCGAGTAAGTTTTAAGCGATGCAACCGTACATTTTATTGCCGAAATTTGTGGTCGCTCTAAAGTCTTGCTATCACTATATTACGGGGCAACAACTTTGCAGTTCGAAATATGTTACCAGAAGTTTAATGATAGCAAAATTTATGAAGTACCATTAACATTTTATATTAACACTGTAGCTCCACCGTATATTCTTGTCAATGTAATGAATAGGTACATACAAGGTATTATTGCAACGTTTTTATTTAGTACTTTAGAGATTAGGACGTAGCATTTTTGAACAATTTGAAAAGGAGGACAATCTCAATTCCCCGGTCCTTTTTGTCTACATGTTACACAGTATATTCAGCAATTATAAACTAATTATATTATTCTTTTTGCAATAATTAGAATTAACTACCATATTGAAACCATAGTAATAGTGTTACAATTAGATCTAAATTTACTGTTAAACTTCTAAGTGTGTGCTTTTTTGTTACCTTATAGGATCATAACAGCTTAACCAATCACTATGAAATTTAGTTTACACGTACTATTTATGAAGACTATTTTTATTCCTGTCGCTAAACAGTTACACTGACAAATTCACGGGTAAAAGCTAGCTCTAAATAAATTGTTTGATATACTTACCAATTGAGAACAAAGCCGGTCTCTCGAAGCCGAAATTAAAATGCGTCAGCATTACCCCATCACGGTCTCCCACTTAAGGTACCCTACTAATTTGGTAAACAAACAAAAGAGACGGCCTAATGAGCAGCTCAGCGGTCCATCGAGAAAGTTTCTTCTAGCAAAAGCCTTCCGGCGTTTCCGTCCGATCCATTTGCTTATTTGTTTGTCCTGAACTTAGCAGCCGCGTCAAACAAAATATATTGTGTTATACACAAAAAAACAAGTATAAAATAAAGTTATAAATATATTTAGGATTAAATTGAAACATTTCAGAACACATTTTTATAGCTCTAAACTCACTTTTTATGATATATATATTACTTTTTAAAGAATATCATACTTGGCCAATTACGAAATTTGTATTTGACATATACTTAAACATAATATTTGGGATAGAAAAAGACTTAACTTCTTCTTTAATTAAATCAATATATCCAAATTTTATGGTATATTTAGACATTAAATAAAATAAAAACTGAAGACCCATAACGTCTACGACGACATATCACAGATTAATTAACATATTAACATCATTAACGTTTCAATCAAACGTGTAATAAGCCTAATAAGATTATGTAGAGACGAAGTTCGAAATTAACATACATAACTAACATTAAATGTATAAACTACCTACCTATGTCACGTATCAACACTTTGCTTTAAGTAATTACAGTCAATATGTAGGCAGACCCAGCTGTCACGTGGGGATTTCAAGGAAATCCATAGACAGCCAGTTAATCGATGACGTCAAATAAAGGAAATTACATTTTGTCGATTGCTTGACAAATATCTGTGATCATTCGGTCGAAACTAATTCAATAAACTCTATTACAGCTAATTGTATAATATAGCTCTATTTATGAATAGAAACTTCCAATGAAATCAATAATCAATCAATTCAATATTAACTCATTGCAACGCGATAGTTGTAAGGTTTTGAAGTGTGAATAGTCTACCTTGTAATCGGTTTAAACATTGAGCATGGCTTACACGTATCCACTTTAGTTATTACACGGCTAACTAGAACGGCTTCTTGGCTAAAGTGTTTTACACGGAAAGATATATAAAATATAGATATGGCTTAAAATTGATATCGCAACTATTCGCGTTCTAAGCTTTACTCTAAATAAAAACTTAAAAGTGATCGACTTGAGAAAAATAAAATTACGAATGATATTTCCGAAAGGATATGGTTCATAAAGAAGCGCTTTTTTAATATAATATTTAACAGAAAATAAAACTCGAAATAAAAATAAAAAATAGACATCAACTTAGTTTTTTTATAAATTAAAGTACTAACATCGTCTATATCCCTCTGTGTCTAAACTTCTCGCCCTTTGGAAAAAACCGGGGGGTGCGTCTTCGCATGCCTAATTTAATCCTTGGCTTATTGAAATAAAAACGACATAGGTTTTCCACAGGTGCCTTGGGCATCGAGGGCCGGGGCCAGAGGAGCAGGGGGCGGAGGGTCACAGGTGGCCCCGATGGTCGCAGCGTCGTTAAAATTTACATAAAGTCTCAATCCACGACGACGGGCGCCGCTGCCCACCCCACGTTTATGCTACATTTAGTAATTTTATGATAATTTCGAAAACCGTACCGCCACCCATCGCATTATACTAATAGAGGAATTCACTGGAGGACGGGCGATGTCGAAAAAATTCACCGCCTCCTAAATAATAAACTTCGACTAATAAATCGTGTTCAGGGTGCAACAGACATTTTATTTTTTAAATAAAAAACATTAGCTGTGTTTTCACATATAGTATGTTTCACTGTTATAATTAATAAAAATGGCCTTCCAAACGCCTGTAACATCAACTGGAACGCTTTGTTATTAAATTAATAAATACTTATGCTGTAAAAATTACATTTACGCATAAACACTTTTCTCCTTGTATTCATTTTTTTTTTTTTTTGGATGAAAATGGATTGGTAACTCTGCCTGCGCTAACGGGATACGCTGGCGGAGCACCAGTGAAGGTTGATAGATGAGAATGAAAACAGGCCAGTTAGCCTATCATGATGAATTCATCAGGAATTAATCATGATAGTTTCCAGGGGGAACCGCGTGGAGGTCGACCTGGTTAGATATATTGCTAGCAATGGGATTTTCAGTCTCTATCACTAACAATCCCTTCCCCCCCCTTGTATTCATTTCCACCACCATGTGACGCCGTTTTCTTAATTCAAAAATTATTCAAGTCGCCGTCAATAGCACCATTTCGTAAATCGACGGCTCAGTCAACGCTGTTACTAAATAAAAATACAAAAAAATAAAATTCAATTTTCCGTCCAATAACATTATCTAAACATCACATCAAAGTGTAATAATAATCTCCTATAAGAGATATAAGGAATCCGTGCCCACTAATAATATGTTAATTGATTGTTAAAATTGTGATCAAATTGTATGTTGATTGTACTCGTACCTACAGACTGTATACAAAAAAAGCTCGGCATCATTAAATCCACAGATAAATCTGTATCTGCAAAACTACGTCATAAAAAGTTACAGCTGGCAATTTCGCGCGTCCGTTACTATCCCGTACCGACATCAATAAACAAAAATCATTGCACAATAACGCCGGATAAATTCAGGTAGTGGTACGCGGGAATGCAAAAAAAATAAACGTTTCGTTTTGTTCCAGTCGAACCTAACACACCTGCCTCGTCACGAATACGTGCCGGGCATGGGCATGGGCGTCGCCAAGTGTCCATACGACCCTGCGGACAACTCGACTGCCCTTTGGGTAGAGAGGGGCAACCCTGGCAGTCTCCCAGCCTTGTATTCGGGCACGAACGCGGAATTCACCAAAGCAGACACTGTGATCTTCAGAACTGACCTGCACAACTTGACAACAGGGAGAAGAGAGTTTTCGTTCAAACGGACGTTGAAATACGACTCGAAATGGCTTGACAGTGAGTATTTTTTTAAACGTAAATTTGAAGATTTTTTTCTGTTCACTGATTTCTTATAATGCATGTAATACAAGCACGTTATCATAACAGTTTTTATGTGCGAGTGATATATTGTAATGTATCTCCAATATAAATAGAAATAAATTGACGATATTATTATAAACGTACGTTATTTAAAAATACATACAAAGGACCGACGTACCGCTTTGGTGTATAATTTAATTTAAAATATTAAAAAAGATACTTATTTTGTACGGTTACCAACTCGCGGTCGAGATTGTTATAATTTTGTTATGTCCTCGCCTAGAAATAATAATATGAATTGTACCACAATTATATTTTAACTTATTAATAATTAAAAATATTAAAATCTAAAGAAAAATATTTGTTTTAAAATCTATACTTACGTTCGATTTTCAGGCAATAGCTCGAGGTTAAACAAATTTAACCACAAAATGTCTAGACTATTATATTGTTTAGAAGTACTTAACTCCTAGACAGGGATCAGACCCACATCAGTGTCTCTATAGAAACGCAAAATTGACACGTTCACTATTCTCACGAGTCGAGATTCGTATTCAACGTAAGAGATAAAATTAAAGTAGATACCATTATTACCTTTTATTTAGAGCACTGATACCTGATATTACGACTATTCCTCTATTTAGACTAAAATATTCTAAAGTATTCAGAAGAAAGATCATAACAATAATCATAAATTTATACATTAAATAACAATGGCTTAAATTTTATTCTAGAGCATTAATGAATTAAAATTTTATAATATCTTTAGTGAGTATTCGCAAAAACTGCTTGACCTAATTTTACCTTTTTCTTTTTCTCGCAAAACTACATGACGCTTAGGGCTTCATCCTTCATCGTATAAATTCCACACATTTGCAGGCAGTGATTTACGTCTTCATTCTTAATGCTACCAAAAAGTAAAATGCTCTTTCTTCTTCTGTATTCCAAGAAAAATATAACTTTAAACAATCGAAAATTTTAAGTTGATAATGACATATATTTATATGGCATATATCTTCTCAATAACTACGCTTTATCTTAAGTGTTGACATCATTTGCATTATGTAAGGCAAGACCATAAAAATTTTCTTTATTCTTATTGTAAAACCGAGCGTAAATTCATCGTGTATTAAAAAAGGAACCTAAATTGTCCCTGGCTATTAGAATAATCTCTTGTTACTACTATACTGTAAACGTGTTTCCAAATTCTAAACAATTTGAAAAGAGTAACTTCAGATTTACCTGTAGGTTCTTAGCACTAAATAAATAAGACGATTTAAAGAACTTGCAACGTAACTATTTATTTTGGTACCCCCACACGTTAAAAAGAAAACATCGTAGTATATTATTCTTGGAAGCCATGGTGCTGTTCTACATAGACGACGGTTGTCACTTTCCATTAGGTAAGCTACATGTTTGCCTTTTCAAGTTATACGCAAAATGAACTAAAAATCGTAAACAAGTATATTGAATCTTGTGTGTAGTGATTTCTCGTACCGCCATACCGTAACAAATCCGAATGCATTCTGATTTCAGTGGTTAATAGTCGATGGTCAGTAATCAGCGTCCATAGTCCCGATGCGAATTACCGTTTCCCGGTTATCATTAGCCAAATTCTCCAATTACAGGCGCTTACACGATTTACACGAGAATCGGCCTGTTTGTAACTAAATAATGGAAATTAAACTGTTTTCGCTCTAACGAGCAATAATGTGCCCCCGATCTGTGCTAGGGCTGTTCCCGTTTTACCCGAATTACCGTTCACGCAATTTCTACCTAATATAATGAATGTCTTTCCACTTCTGTTCACTTTTCATTATATCGTAACATTGAGTTATAAATATTAATTTCCAGTGTTTACTTACATACATACCTGTCACGCCTTTCCAGTATTTGTTTGTTCAAATAAGACTAATACATAAATTTTGCCCATTTATAATAATTTCCTGCTTAATTGTCTGTGTTTTCTACCACAGGTAAATTAAACTTTTTTAATGTAAAAATAAAAGTAACTTTATTTTGTAACCAGCTTTTTGCCCGCTACATCGTATCTATGGGTTTCAGAAATAGAAAAAACAATGAAATAGACAATTTTTAGATGGCATATCAATTTAAAACTTATACCCAATTTTTATGTTACCTTTAGAAACACAATTATTTCACCGCATCCAATTTAGTGCAGTAGTTTTTGTGTAATGCCGGAACAGACATATTGGAGTACAGGCAAATAAAATTCACTTATATTATTTTTCTTAAATATCTCCTATTTATAGATAGCATCTAGACACAATTTTAGTGTATTAGTAAAATATAGATAAAAGTCATAAGTGTCATAAGAGTGTATATTTTTCATCTCACAAAATTAGAATTGGAACTTTCTTTTTTTTTTAATCCAACTTAAAATGGCAAACATGCTGACGACCCAACTGATGAAAAGTGGTAACCGTCGCCTATAGATAGACATCAGCAGTAACATGGACATAACTGAGTATACTGTTTCGCCCATAATACCCTCCATACGTTACTATTCCTGAGGACTCAGGTGTTATTCCTCTGTACTCTTTAAATTCACTGCCATATCCCACCCTTCAAACCGAAATACAGTCATTCAAACACAACTACTTCACGATAGAAACACGAATAAGACAGAGGTGCTCAAGCAAACGTCTTCTGTACAAAGTCTCCCTCTGGTTCTTCGCTAGAAGACACAAAAGATACCAACATAATTTATAAAACAAATTTTGACGATCATAGTAGTGTAACTGTTTAGCGTTCTGTTGATCTTGAATTGAATTTTCGCACAATACAAACATTTGTTTATATTGATTTAAACTTTTTCCTTATTTTATATAACAAAAATAATGGCATACTTTTATATCAAAATACATATAGTTTCTAAAAAAAAAGTATTATCTGCAGTACAGTCTTTACCTAGATGGTGACTAGCTAGCACTGTATTTCTGAGGCTTTGCCCTAATCCTAATAAAAAAAAAACAATAAAATTATGTTATGTTGAATTTAAATTTGGTAAGTATTATCGCCAACAACCGATCTACAAAACGAATTTAATTTTATTTTTTCCATTGAAATATACTTAAGTAAAGCTTATGTACGAATATTGAGCCACAGTTTACCTCTCCTCTAATAAATCAGTAATTCTTTGGTTTTACTACTTGTTTCATATTTTTTTAGGAATAGGTAGGTACTACGATAAGCTAAAATATCTCAAATATTGAAACAAACAACTTGATTATTTTGACTGGATTAATTTAAATCAATTGCAAAATATAAAACTCTTTAAATGTATTATCTGAAGCGAAATCTGATTATTAATTACAATATAAACAAACATGAAAGTAAAATTTATCTTTACAATTGTTATATGAGCAAATGGAAATATCCCAATACGCGCATTAATTCGAGTGTGCCACAATAACATGGGAATAGAAATTACGTGGCGACAAATTTGCGTAATTTTCGTTAATAATATTGCTTTGTTCATTACACACGGGCCTTTATTGCTTGCGATTCAAACGCCACTAACAGTTAATTATTTTCATTTAATTTCAATTTATCAACTCCTTTATATTCATACCCAGACTTATTTTATCTCTGAACCCGTCGCGTTGTGTCCTCGAGTCGAGTTCTATAATTATATTGAAAATTTAACTAGAAAATGAAGACTCAAAGACTAAACATGTTTACAATAACGGTACAATGTTATATTCATAAGCATAATACTGTGAAAAAGTTTAGTGCTTGTAAAACTGCACTAAATTACTTGTTGTCCAAAAAGGGATTCAACATCCTATAAAATTCACTATTGCACTATAAAACGAACTCTTAAAAGCAACTTGCGAATAAACAGATCTTTAGTCTGATCCGAAAATTATTAAAAATTGGATTTTAGATATTTTATTCAAGAACATAAAATTTTTAATGATTACTAAACAGAGGAGCTTTTTAATTCGACAAATCATTCGTATGCATATAACGCGTTCCCTTCATCAAACGAATTAGATGATTATTTTTCAGTGGATAAGATTTATTTTCGTGTTAGTCTCATACTGATCAAAATGTAATTTCCATTCTAATTGTATAAAATTAAAATTCATTCAATTTTATTTCTATAAAACATTATTTTCATTATCCATATGACTTTGTAGCCGAGCGTCCATACCCATCGAGAAATTAATATCACCCAACGCATATTACGATTATAATTTTATATCAAACCACTAATATATATATATATATATATACCCAGAATTCTTTTATTACACAGTTTAATTTACGATGACAATAATTTCAAAAGATCTGAAGCCTTATTAAAATTTAATACTTAATATATTGTTGTTAACTGCCACTGAAGCGAATATTTTAGCAACGATGACAAAAAAAGATTGCCGTACGTCGCTCGTTCCTATTCTGTTAATCCTGAACACGTGGCGATTTCATTTCGAGACCAACAAATAAGCATTATTAGTAATGCCGGTCGTGGACGCTTGTACATCATAATTGACATTCACGTATTCATCTAATATTTATTGCGCATCGCACCGAACAGTAATTTGATAGTGTAGAATTAACATGGGAACGCGTTTCCATCGCTCTTGTAATTTTGTAATAAACGAAATTCCACGATATAATTAGATAATAATTATTAAATGTTGGCATCAGTTCAATATATGAAAAGCAATAATAATATTTTTTATTTGTCTCAAATCAATTTACATTTATTCGACTAACAACACCGAAACATTCTATGATTTTCGAATAAAAGAAAACAAACAACCGAGAACAATAGCTAGAATGGAATAAACTCTAGCTTTCCTTTAGGTTCTAACCCAGATTTAGACTAAAATAGTAACTTACGAATAGCTTGCTAAAGAAATTATTTACGAATACGAATACAGACGAGAAAGATTTATCTTAGGATAGTTACACAAAAATGACAAAGTACTAGAATAGAAATGTTTTTTTTTCTATAAATATATAAACTAGCTAACTATAATAGAGGTAGGTTTTCTTAAAAATCGAGAGCGTTCTTAGAGCTTTTTTTTTATTTCTACTGAATTCGAGAATACTAAATGCAGTGTTACACATTTTAAAGTATCTTTATATACATATATTTTACAAAATTGTCAGTGAATCTATATTCGCGGAAAATTTTGTAAAATATCATGCAATGAAAAAATTTTCTTTGCTTGCTTAAACAGAAAACAAACTATATAAAGACACAATTAACATTGTATTCCATAAAAAAAACGACTTCAATTGTGAAAAACTAGTTATTTTAATTTTGAAATTTAACTACTGAACCAATTTTGATAAAATATTTATGAAACAATATGTCAATAATAATAATATTATTAATATGTTACTTTTTAGTTTTTTATCTTTTAGATAAAAAAGAATTTCCGAAATCGGTTTATAACTGATGGAGTTATGAGGAACGAACATAAAAAAATACAACCGAGTTGAGAATCTCCAACTTTATGAAATATGTAGAAAAAAGTGTAGAGCTAGAACAGAACTAGAACGGCCTTATTCGTATTCTTTGTCAGAATACTAAAAATATAAAATCATAGATATTAAAACTAATGCCACTAAAAACTTATTACACTATCAAATATAATAGGACCATATTTATATTTCATAGTCATAAAGGGGTGACAGGGTGTATTAGGGTAATAGGGTAAAAAGGAAAAACGATCTCACTAGACTATTTATAAGCCATACAAAATATTGTAAAACTTTTTATTGATATTAAAAGTTCGTCCATATAGCTTCATAAATTGATAGATCTAAATAATTCTTATATATTTGATAGTATCTATTATTTTATATGAAACTCTTAAGATTTATATTTTATCTATACGGAATATACATAGTTGATATACAAAATTAATCATATTGATTTACTAGTGCCGCAACCTGGCTTTACATCATTTTCTTAATAAAATAAAGCCCATTTCACTCGCTGCTTATGTTTTTTTCGTCTAGGTGAAAGAATTTTTAAATTTGGTCAAGTGTTTTTTTTTAGTTCATTTATTATAAACGAAACAATCATATATTTCCTCTTTTTTAATATTAATTTAAATAACTCGAATATAAATTATGTGTATTACCTTTATAAGAAAAAAAAAATATTCAGAACTATGCATAATCAAAATCTTAAATTTTTACTTTTAGAACCAAACTTCGTGGGATCTTTTGATGTCGGCGAGTACGTTCTTTTCTTCTTCCGGGAGACAGCGGTAGAATATATCAATTGTGGAAAAGCGGTATACTCAAGAGTCGCAAGAGTATGCAAACGAGATACTGGTGGAAAGAATATACTCAGCCAAAACTGGGCCACTTATCTAAAAGCAAGACTGAACTGCAGCATACCTGGAGAATTTCCGTTTTACTTCAATGAAATACGTAAGTATTCTTTATTTACTTTTATAGAAATATTATTATGAATCTGTCTTCTCCTTAGGTCTCATGAAAGGTACGAAGAAAATACTGATTTCCAAAAATCTCTATCCTTAAACACATCTCTGGCGTCGTCCACTTTCATAACTCCTTCCGTAGACTTCTGTCTTATCTCTCAGACAGGGCACAGTCATAGATTAGTCCAGACCTACTCCAGTATTTGTATCCACTTTGCATTTCTATACTCTATTTCTGTGTCTATTCTATGATTCAATATTCTTTCTATTATACATAGTGGAACCATCGTAACTAAAAAGAGAAAGTTTTAATAATAAGGCTGATTAACAACGCCCAACCTACATAAGTTTTAATTTAAATTTTTCAATGTGTGATACACACAAGCTCGCACGGGCAAAATCATGGAGTTCTTTAAAAAATAAACTGACAATTTTGATAGGGAAGTATTTAGTCATCGTTTCATGAACCTGACTATAAATTGTCCCGACCTACGGGCGTCACCCTTCCAAAATATTTGTGTACTGTCAATCTTCAGTAAATATTTTAGTTCCAAATTCAAAAGTTCACTACCTATTTATGTGAGGAGTCTAACTGATTTCTGTGTGCTCCCCGAAGCCCGGTCCTCCCAGACTATGTTCATCTAATATTAACGCGCGACGCTCCGGTTTCGCCACGGTTTTTCACGCTCTCCCCACTACAGGCCTGCATAACTCATGAGAATGTAATAGGTACTCAAGTACAGTATTTGCTATAGGTGTGTTATTTACATATCTGTTCGAACGCCATTAGGAAAGTTTACGGGAACTTCAGTTGAACGTTAATCGCTCGGAAGAAGTGTTTGTGAAACGACAATTGCAGGTATGCAAATGTATGTAGGTACGGACCACTGTAAGCTTTTACAACGTCATATTTTAATGTTAAGTGACTTTGTGAATCGTAGTTTAAAACGACAACTAAAAATAAGGAAATTCTCAACTCCACTGTACTTTATAATATTACGCCATATTTACTCCTATTGTAAACAGGTTTTAATGATAATTTTTATATATAAAAGGATTTGTTTTAAATACTGTAAACACAAAGTTATTAAAACCAATATTTTGGGCAAAAATTTAATTATTAAATGTTATTTCCGATTTAAAATTCTCTTACTTTTCCTACATTTTTATGAGCAACAAGATAGAAAGGAGATTCAAAGATGTACCGAATCTATAACTGTTAACAAAAATTTCATATAGTCAATAACAAATACCCTATAGTAGGTAAATATAGGATCTAAGTGAAATTTTAGATCTTTTTATAATAATAAAAAGATCTAAAATTTCACTTAGATCCTAATTAAGGATATGCAAATCATAGACGTCACAGATACTTTTGTGAAACCCATAATGTTGTTCTTGTCTATAGACAACAATTACCATTTACCATGGGCCAATTAGGACCATTAACAAGTTTTTCAATTATTGAAAAAACGTTAGTGCTTTGCCCTATTTATATGATTAACAATTCAATTCTTTTTACTATTCAAATAAATTCTAAATCTAAAAGAATATATAGTCATCTAGGTTCGTGTATTTACGCTACAGTACATTTTGATGAAAAGCTTATTTCTATTCAATTCCCTTAAAAATGTAATTTTATCATTTATCAAACAATTTTATTGGTTTTATTTCTACCCTTTGCAGGGCTAAATACACAATTTATAATTATACCTGGCAGTTATTACGGTACCCCTCACAAAACCGTAGTTGATATTCAACATTTAATGTGACGTTGATCATTTTAGAAACTAGTTTAATTGTTGCAACAACTTTCGGCGACATCGAGATAATAAAGTTCAGCACCCGCAATTATAACAATTTGATAGTCAACTCGAGCAAACTTTGGACAACTAAGAGCAGATTAGACATTTTGACATTGCTTGATAAATTTTCGCTTTAGTTCTCATGTCGTTGGGCGTAATTTAAAACACAATTATGAGTTTAGCAATTACGCAAATACATTTTTAATTTAGAACTGTATTTAAAGTTAACATTTTTGCAGAGTGATAATTTAATCACATGTGTCAAGATTAAATTTCATCCACAACATTCTAAATTATTTAAATCCATTTGAAACTTATTGCTACTGAGTTTGTACATATGCTTACGTAATATAAGACAAATAATCCGTCGTCCGGTAAGTCACATCAGAAGCCGTCACATAGAACAATGGCGGCCTAGAAGCCTATGACATCAGAAAGTATCCTAGACGGATGCTATGTTGCAACGCGCTCGCACTGACATACATAATACCAAGAACTTGATAAGACTAACGAGATTATAACAGCGACAAAATGTAGACGGTGTATTTTTTTTATGCAACTTAGAATGCAAACAAGCTGACAGCCTACCTGATGGAAAGTGGTAACCGTCGCCTATAAACATAAGCAGTACCATAGACATAATAGATTATACTATTTCGCCCATGATACATCCCATGCGTTGGGATGTATCATGTATCAACATCCCATTCTTTAGGACTCAGGTGTTATTCGTCTGTACCCTGTAAATTCAATGTTTTTAAATTCACAAAATTTAAGTAATAAATAAAATATTGCTAAATGCAAGATAAATTACTTTGAATACTAAATACTTACACAGATCTGCATGAAATATTTCACGTGTGTGAACTAAACACAATCATATCAGGATCTACCGTCTTCTTTCTAAAATACAAAAGTATTAATGTTATCAACTAAAGCCTATTATGAACTACAGATTATGTATTAATAAGTAGGTTTTTTTAAGAATGTTAATAAAATATAAAACAGTGTATTAACAATGTTTAATATAATTACGTAATTTACAGAAAGCATCTACAAGATACCAAGTGATGACAGCCGGTTTTATGGAGTATTTACAACAGCATCTACTGGCCTCATGGGTTCTGCTATTTGCACCTTTACCGTTAGTGATATTCAAAAGGCATTTGAGGGAAAATTCAAGGAACAAGCCACTTCCAGCTCAGCCTGGCTGCCAGTTATCAGTAGTAAAGTACCAGAACCCAGACCTGGCACATGTGTTAATGATACATCGTCTCTTCCCGACACTGTGCTCAATTTTATTAGGTATGTATTCATAAATATTTATTACTGTTACGTTTAATTTATTTAACTTAAAATTGAATTAGTGGATTTATTGATTGTTTTTTTTTTTGTAATGAATATGAACGTATTTAGAAAAAGTATTTAAATATTGCCTTCAGTTGGTTAGTATTCTTAGTACAAACAAGCTGGACTTATTTTAGTAGCGAGTGGCACTATGTAGCTTGTGTGTGCGTGCATGCGGGCGTACGTGCGTGCGTACGTGCTTGCGTGCGTACGTGCGAGCGTGCGTGCGTGCGTGTATGCGTGCGTTCGTGCGTACGTACGTGCGTTTGTATGTGTGTGTGTGTGTGTGTGTGTGTGTGTGTGTGTGTGTGTGTGTGTGTGTGTGTGTGTGTTTTTTTGTATTCAGTATCATTTACAAAATAAAAAATAAGTATTTTTTATTTATTTATTTCAAGTAAACAATTACATAGACAATATATATTCTTAGTGCCGCGAAACTGCATAGGTACTATATAAAAAGTTGCGATCACAACAAATTCCAAATTCAAACTACAAATTGCATTATTTTAAAAACGAAACTCCAAAAATAAAAGTATGCACAGAATTAATTAATTTGCAACAACAACTGAACGTCGTCGAATGCTTAAATGGGCAGGAGAGCGAGACTGTCGTTATTGTAACAAGCGCGCCGGACGTAAACAAAGTAGAAAATCGTCACTTAAAAACGTGAAACGCGATCCTGTCGGTGCCACGCCGCCGTCTCCAGCAATGCCAGAATTTCCACGCTCATTGAAATCCACAGGCACTTTTATCCTCGCGACACGTCCTGTTAATTATCCAACGCTCTCACCCCGAGAGCGTTCAATTATTTTTTTTTTCACCGCTTTTCACGATCCCCATGTGGAAACGTTGAGATTTTAACACTTCACCTGAACCAGTGTACTGAAAATAGTATAATAATTTTTTTATTCACACGCCGAGTGGATGTTTTAATTAAACGAATGTAGTATTTGTCGCAGCATTAAAGCTTTTTCTCTACACGGTGTCGCGTCATCCCTGAAACATTATCGTCCTCGTGCGACGTGCAACGTGCGACATACGACAATAGCAGCCTGTCGCTTCGTTCGCCACGTCGTTATCAACATTCCCGTAATGTTTCCGTCGACTCGCTTCGATGACTTCCTTTATTAGAAATCTTTACACTCTAGGGTATTGTGGAATAAATTTAGTGGCATATCAATTTAAGTTCGCTCGATTTTACAGGTATTAATTTAGTATTGATTAATTATAAATTTTTACGATCACTTATGTAGCGGTATTTGATTAAATATATGTATATATTTCAAAATGTTGGTCTTGTAGATAATTAATATAATATTTTTAACATCCTACGACATATTTTATTTATTTGAAAAGTGGTATAATATTAAAATAATATTGCGTCACAATATTTATAAAATGTAAAAGCGGCAATAAAAACATTTTTTATCAATCACAACAGTTAAATACTATTCTATATATACGTGACTGTTGTTTAATTATTTAAATATTGATTATTTGATATACCAGAAACCTGCCTATAGTTACTTAATATGTAAAGTGTACAATTTTAAAGTATTTTGTACATTTCGACAGATCCCATCCGTTAATGGACAGCGCCGTCTCCCATGAGAATGAAAAGCCTATTTACTACAAAAGAGATCTGTTCTTCACTCGACTGGTAGTGGACAAAGTGAAGGTGGACATGCAGGGTCACCAGCTAGACTACACTGTATACTACGCCGGAACCAGTAAGTAACAATTTACTATACTTGTATTAGCTTAGCATCTTATACAGCAAAAACAACAACGTCAAAATTAAAACAATTTGGTTTTACTGTTGTGATATTATAATTATTTCAATAAATAATTAAATAATATTACCTAATTATTAAAGGCAATTTCAAAAATGCTTTTATACTGCACTGGTCTGCGTTCAGATTTAGGTATATAATTTAAAATTATATCATAAATTATTATTTTACTATTAGATATCTTAAATTTAATGATATAAAAATATAAAAAACTTCATTAGCAAAATAATACAATGAAATCGTTATCAATCTTTTATTGACATAATTATATGTAATTTGTTTATATTAATTTCTTCGATACTCTTTCATGAATATAAAAAAAAAATTTTGAAAGTTAAAGATAGTGAATGCATTGGCACACTCGGATATGAATACTCAGTCCAATACAAATAGTTGAATTTATAATGACACGCCCTATCCTTTCTTCTAATCGCTTGCAATACAAGTGGTGCAAGCGTGCAATGTTTTGCTAATATATTAATAAATCATTACACACTAATTGACACACGCACACTTAGATGTTCGCCTAATCATTTGAAAACATCGTGGTAAACTGGAAGTACGATCTACTTAATCTTTAATGTGCATAGGGGGACGCGTCATCGTAAGTCGTAAATAGAGCTATCTGTTTTTTTTTTATTCAACTTAGAATGGCAAACAAGCTGACGGCCCACCTGATGGAAAGTAGTAACCGTCGCCTATAGACATGAGCAGTACCATGGACATAACAGATTATACTGTTTCGCCCATGATACCCCCCATGCGTTGCCATTCCTGAGGACTCAGGTGTTATTCCTCTGTACCCAGTAAATTCATGCCATATCCCACCCTTCAAACCAAAACACAGCCATGCAAACACAGCAGCTTCACGGTTGAAACACGAATGGGACAGAGGTACCCAAGCAATCGATTTTGTACAAATTCTCCCTCTGGTGTACCTAATTAGTTTTTAATTGACAACTGTAAGTATATTAATGTAACCACGAAATAAGTATATGCGTTATAGCATAGTACTGCTGACAGCTGACATATTGACAGAGGTTAGTCTAAAAAAAACAAATTGACTAATTACTGCAATAATATTTATAATTAATTATAAGAGGTCAATATCCTCCTCTCAAAGGAAAACAACCATGTCTAGTAGTAGGAAAATACAGAGTTGTTACAGAATAAGAATCGAGAGCAAACTTATCGATGACTGAAATGAGTCTTTTGTTTGTTAGTCTTAATAAAGCAAAAGACCAAAGTGTTAATAAATTATAAATATTTCTTATAAAATACAGAAAACGATAAATAAAACAGAAATAAAGCCTCCCCAAAATATAACAACAAGTAGTCTAATATATATTCATATAAAACCACAGACATAGGTATCAGAGAACAGTCTAACCCAGCTAGCTACAATCAAATGTAGACACGGATGACATACAATTTCAAAAAAAGCACACAAATTTAAAAATGCTCGCCTGCTGGGAAATTAAAAGAATGGAAGTGCCACAAAGGCAATAATTCGTCTCGCCACTGACGGCCGACCGTCGGCCTCTCGTCGGGATGCCATTGGATTTCTACTCACAAACGAGTTCATGCACGTTCATCTACATGGTTTGATTTTAAACACAAAATTTTTTTATAAGAAACAATACGAGCAAAATTCGTTTAATGTAATATATAAAGTTGTCTGGAAGAGATCACTATTTAATGGTAAAGTCGCCCATTATTGCCTCTTTGCTTTGCTTCGTGTAGTCACATTTATTTTGTCCATATTATTAACAATTATAATCTGTATTATTCTTTGAAAGGGATAATAAAAAAAATCTATTCATTCATTCATTCATATCATAGCTAAAATATATAGTAACATTTTAACCTCTGTAATCAGATATAACAATTCTGACAATTAAATTAAAATCTTTTGCCATCTACTCTATAAAGTTGTATGCGATGCGCTCTACAGCTCTGACTGGAAACTGTTACGGTATGTCTGTACGCCCGGAGAAGCTACGAATATTAATTTCTATTGTTTCTTCGGGCAATGTCAACTATCCCTCAAATAATTCGCATTTCGCATTTTAACCACATTATTGGGTGATAACAGACCCAAGAATATTATTTGGCTATGATTTTCTATAATAAGTAATTCGCTATAAGAAAAAACTATTTTTCGGCCAATATCGAAATACTAAACAACAATCAAAATATAGCCACTATTCTATCCTTTTCAATTATATACATACATATATGAATGACATTCATTTAGTCAAATAGGAGTAAGTGGTGATTTTTGTTTGTATACAAAAATTACATAAATTCAATGACCATTATTTGCAGATCCTATAGAGGGGTAACATCTCAGCAAAAAAAAACTGTTTCTAGCATATAAATATCATTTTATTACATATATGTATATCAATATGCAACTGCAACAAAGAATCAGACTTTTTTAAGTTAGCTCAAAATTTTGCACCATTAGTTAATTCCTAGCAATAAATCCCAGTTGGTCGCACAGCGGGAGGTGTTATTGACTTCTATGTGTAAGTGTACGTATTGCGTACGGTTGGCGTACATGACAGCACGTACATAGAGCTCGATCCAACCGCAGAGGCTCCACGTCACATTTCCACCGCCGCATAAATTCGGCCCGCCGTCTAAACAACGCCTCCGAGTGGTAATTTTCGCTTGTGTTGTTGCAATTTTCGCCAATTTTCCTCGAAAATCGTTCCCGACCAAACCGCCCTGCCATGAAGCTACGGACTGGATTAAACTCACGTAGATATCTAACGAAGGGGGGTTCGTTTACGGAACAACTTTTACGAAAGGCGAGCTACGTTTGAGTTGCCGTTTGAAATGCTTGTGTGTGGAATATTAAATTGTTTAAACGTTACCTTTGACGTTCCCTCCCTTTCTATAGCCACGTACCGTTATAATTACTCTAACTTAATCTGCACAATGTAACTTTGTTTCCGTCTCCTCTGAGTATTCCCTCACATGTACATTCGCTGCGCTCAATTGCAAAACCCAATCGCAATAAATGAACATTACCTAACCAGGCTCCGTTACACTGTTGTATAATTTAATAATTTTGTACCTATATTTAAACCGCAACAAAAAGGAAGAACCCGTAAATCCGAAACCCTCTTAGTTCACTACTATTTAGGCGAGGAGCGCAAAATAAGTTGCACGACATTCCGTCACAAAGAGCTCGCGGCGTTCTCTGAAAAAGGACAGTTTACTCTTTCAATAAAGAGGGAGCTAGTGTGCTGATATCTACGGCCACGATATTGCCTCCCCGCTTAACCCATTTTGAGTACTTACCACGTTATAATATGCATTAAAATGCACTAGCGAAAAGTTGTACTGGCACTCGAGACTCGGGCCTGAAGGTGCCAGCAGACAATGAGAAATGAGCGTATGATACTTTCGCAATGCGGGCCCCTCGTCTCTTCTCGTTCCATTTGTTTTATCGCGCCTAAATCACTGTTGCTAGACAAGTTTTAAACACCCCGCCCCGAGGTTGATAAAAGTTTGACAGCGACTGTCATGTACATACTGAGAGCTCGTGTTTGTCAATGAAGGGAGCCGAGGTATCAAAGACGTTAAGAGTATTTAGAAGTTAACGAAGTTAATTAAATTCCCCGAGTTAGACGTCAACGCCGGGACTCTTTAGTATCAAGGACGCCTTTGTAAACAAACGAACATAATAACGTTCACGTATCGCGTGAGTACAGTCTCTGTAACAACAATCTCGAAACCTAATTACGACGCGTTTGTTCTAAAATAGGAAAGTAGGAGCTCTCTAATTTTTATGAATCATATATGAGGTTAGATTTGGAAAAAGTTTGGCACGACGTGAGGGAAATCAAATTGTAGTCCAGGCCGGATCGGCTTTGACATCACGTGCTGTCGTGCCTCGGGTGCTATTAAAAATGATTTAAAATTCACAGTCGGCTTGACGGTCGACTCGCCAGTGAAACGTTATAGCCATTTGATGACATAATTATATTGGTCGGACTCCACCTCCAAAATGTCCTTTGATGTTTTGAAATTTAGTTTCAGAAACTTTCAGTATTACTCTTGTATAAACGGATTTTGTTGGTGAGTTGCTAAACAAAGTCTCCTGAGATTTTAACAGTCAAAAAATAATATTATTAAATGCGTACCTAACTTACCCATTGTAAGTACTCACGTAGTAAATTAATATAGGTTAAACTGCTCTCAGTTCAGTGTAATATGTAATTTGATCCTAATATCCTCTTCATATTCGTATTATAAATATGAAAATTCAGTGTAAGGTAATCTGTTCATCGTTCCTTTTGCAATTAAGTGATGAATAATAAACTAAATGTTCAGAGCTCTTCTTATCCGCCTTTAATTAATAAATATTCAAAATATGAGCTTTATATCGTTAAACATACCTAAGGCACTTTTAAGTTATGGGAATAATACTGGTAATAATTTACAAAATAACTTAGCATGCATAAAATGTAGCGATACGCATCGAATATCGCTCTTGTAAGTATCGGAAACCCATTTGCTTAAGTGCATGAAGTCTAAGTTTTGCCATAAACATGAAATGCGGTTTCGCAAAATGATATGTTAAGATACCGCTAAGGTACTTCGATTGGAGTGGCGGTAGTTTATTGTAGGACATACTCGGCTAACGTGCTCCAATCGCTAGAAGTTACAGCACTCTTGGCTCCTGACGAACGCGAGCCTTCAAAACAGTATATCAACTCTTATGACGTTCACGGCCCACAAGACGAAAATTAACTTTGTTTACTACAATGTTACGTTACGATATGCATATACAATTACTTATATACAGGAATGTAGTACGTTGAAATTATACTTCTAAGTCCTCGTCAATCTAAAACATTAAACTTATTTCCCCTCACGTTTATCAAGACTATAGTCTATTAGTAGATGTTACAAACAACTTC